ATCAAGGTCAAATCTGTTATTTATATCATCATCAGGGGTTGTGGTTGGGTTATATAGCTGGTTACTGGCCCAGGGGCATCGTATGTGTATATACATTACCTTCAGCTTGGAATGAACCATTATTTTCATCCAGTGGCATGTTGTGTAAGTGATGTGTAAAGAGTAATTTTGGTCCTTCGTGGATGATGATGAGGAAGTGAAGGTTTTGGAGAGGGGGATGGGGACAGAGAACAGTAGTGAGAGCAGAATGAGGGAGGTTAGCAGAAGGGTGAGGGTGTGCTGGGATTTGTGGGGGTGGGTTGCGAGGGCCCACAGGGAGGAAGGTGGGGGATGGTGAGGAAGGATAGCAGTGTGCCGAGTCCCCCCCCCGCTTTCTGATATTTTAATATCTCTATACTGTGCGCTGGCTAGCAAGCTACTACATTTTCTACCCTTAGTGCCAGACTATGGATGAGAGCTTTGTCTCTGCAAAGCACTTGGTATGGGCTGAAACAGGGCACTCTATTCATGCACTCTATTCATGCACTCTCTTCAATTCTGTCTCATTAGACTGTGGGCACCATGCGTGTTTAGCTCCCTTTGTGTGTTTAGGTGTATACGCATGCCTATTTGTTTCTATAGAGTGTGAGAATTGATTGCTTCCCGTGCAGGGTTTTCCTCTGTAATATACTATGTGTGCATCAGGCGTAGGTCAGCATCTGTATCCATGGTCTTTTTTTTTTTTCCTGTGTCACGCACAGAGGACAACAAAGGATAAGACCTCGTATTAAGGAAGGAGGGAGGGGACTACTCTCTCCAAATTCAGTCAAGATTCCCCTGCCCTCTGGCCAGTTGTGAAATCGACGCACGGTTTGATGGCCGCGTTACCCTCGCGTTCGCCTCATCCAAAAAACAGCTCCTAATGGTGCGACCCTTATTTTTTTTTAGCCTGCTCTGAATCCTTGACCCGGAACCGGGGTTTTTGTTTTCACTTCATACAAATGTTGAATTGCAACACGCAGAGGGGGAAAGAGTGTGTTTGAAACGCACCATCAGCGCTCTCCTCGGAGTCATCTCTCATCAGCATTCTGCTCTTTGTAGCTATCAGTCTTTCAAACAGCAGAATGGCCCCTACAGTGTAGACTGAGGCTGAAAGCTGCAGCTGCTGCACACACTGAACATAGGCAAGGGACAGTACTCCCCCTGCTCCTCTACACACACACACACACACACACACACACACACACACACACACACATATATATATATACAAAGAGACAGAGAGAGAGAGAGAGAGAGAGAGAGAGAGATATGCTCCCCCCTGTTTGTCTGATGTTTTGCTTAGCTTTAATAGCAAGACTGATGCCATTTAAATATTTCGCTTCAATTCACTCAATGCAAATCCAGCTGCATAAGTGGGTTCCCAAAGTTCACAAACACAAAGGCGAGGGCAGTGAATGCATCAGGCCTATACAGTCAGTTCTACTTCATTTAAGATCTGCAAAATAATAATAATTATAATAATTGCAATCTTTTACATACTGCCAAAATTATTTTGCATTTCAAAATGAACGTGCACCCATTTCCACTTTCAGAATTACAAATAACAGATTAACATTTCATAATTTACACAACCCCGATGAGTTTGCATCGACTGGGTTGTGTGTTACTAATGAAACTGATTGTTATCAGGTAGCATTTGTGTCATGTTTTCATGTGTGGAGTGAATTCCTTTTTGGTCTCCTCTGCGCTTCAGAGGGAACTATTGTACTTCTTATTCCACTACATTTATTTGATAGATGTTGTATATATTTACCTTGCATATTAAGATTTTCCAGACCTTATTTAATATGATATAATGTGAAAGATTAAATGATATCAAGAAGATATAATTATGTGTTCCAAGAGCCAGTACTTTATGTTTGACTGAAGATTAAGGTGATGAGTTGCATTAAGTGTTTCTCTCCTAGCTTGCTTGTTGAAATATCAATGGCTACTTTTAATCAACTTCTGTTTACTGAGTCTGCTTGTTTGCATATTTGTATAATTACTCATAATTTTCTTCATCATTGTGTTTGTTCAGTCGCGTTTATTCATTTTTATCTTATATCTGGAACTATGTAAACAAACCTCCTTCAGTGATGAAGTTAAATCACAATGATCCAATATTATAATACAGTACATTAAGAGTACTTTAATTTTTTTACTTTTTGCTTGAAAAAATTCTCTACTTTAACCTAAAATATTAAGTGCAGAACTGTTAATTGTTGTTAAGTGTTTTCACAATCTGCTATCACTACTGTAGGTTGGTAAAGTAAAAGATCTGAGTAGGTCTTACACCACCGGTGAATCATGTTACATCATTTTTCATACATGTATAAATATGCAGTATTATAAGATACAAACCAGCTTTCTTGCTCTTCAATCATCAGATTCTGTTTCATATAAACCAAAATATACACACATATATACATAACTAAATCCAACTACTCACCAATTCCCATTTCTCATTTCACAGCACAAACAGAAACAGTAGATGCATTTTGAAATCGGCAGTGGTATTTATATATATATATTTGGGACATTATTAAAAGAAACCTTTCTCTCCTTCATCCGTCTTCCCTCTGCCCGGCTTTTCAGCTCCTGCGGTATTAAAGATAGTCATTCCTAATCCCGTATGTGCTATATGGCCTCTCTGACTAAGACTCATCAAGGTGAAAGTGCTGTGTGATTTGTTGGACATATTATTAGCGTGGTAATAGGGTCTTAGAAGACACTGAAAGAAAGGGAGCGGCACACGCTGTGCATCCAGGTGTGTGATATTTAACAGCAGCACCGGCCTCAGGAACAGATCTGTCAGAGAAGTGAACACGCACTCTAATGGTAGACTGGCCACTTCCCTGGAGAATGTGAATGATACGAACAAGAATAACACACATGTACAGTAGCTTGTGCAGCACACACATTAAAAGGTTGAAACAAGAACACCCACACACACACCCACCCACACACACACTCTCGCTCTGCCCTCTAAACCTGTCACCAAAGGCAAAGGTGCTCTGCACATGCACCTACACATGTAGACACATCCACACGTCGAATACACTCCATCCCCGCCTGAAGACACAACAACAAACATCTAATTCTGAATCACTCTTAGCCTGACTCACCCCCACGCACTCGCACTCACACACACACACACACACACACACACACACACACACACACACACACGTGTGCACACACAGAGCATATTTTCCCCTCAGGAACACTTTGCTTTACCAATGTCCTTTAAGTTGGCTACTGGGACATATTTTTCAACACACACACTGCCTTCATTCACACACAGATCCTTCTTCCTCCTCCTCTTTCTGCCCTCCCTCCCTCAGCTCCTTCCTCCTTCCTTCTCTAATGAGTCTCTGAGCGTGCAGGTGAGAGCATGAGCCTGAGGAGACGATAGCCTCCTACGTGTGCGTGTGTGTCTTGGCACACGTGATTGTGAATGATAACGAACACATGCTTCACCGAGACGCACGACCATCCGTTCAACTCAGGTTAACTCGTCTCCTCGCCGTTGATTAGAGATGAGAATCTCAAAGGCTGATGAGTTAAAGACTTTTTATGGCAAAGTATGAATTAAAGTGTGGCTCAGTCCCACTGCTGTACGTGTGATGGAGATAAATCCCCAAAACAGATATAGTCATCTGTTTTGTATTGCAATTAATTATAGGGGGTTCAAAAGAAAAGGTTAGGAAAATAAATGAAATGCACAAACTAATGCTGAGCAAGGAAAGAAAATTTATTAAAATGTATTTTATCAGTTCTGTCTGTGCAAAGCAGAAATACTGTGCAAGAAAAAGCTAATCTTTGTTAATGAGGGGGCATCCAGAGTTAAGCTGGAGACCTCTTAATCTGCAGTCAAATGCTCTGCTACTGAGTTATACCCCCTTATCATAACGCTACATTTAATAGCTCCAGTTCTAAATGATATTCACTATAATGTAATGACTTGTTCTTTTAACTACCCACAGTAAAAAATATATATTGTCACTAATTTGCAAGATTTTCGTCATTACATCGGTGGACCACTCGGCTATTGCAGCACAGATATAGTGTGTGCATACCATACAAAGGAATTTCAAAGAGGTTTTATCAAGAACTAGCCCTCTGAACACTAGGTTCATTTTGGCTCATTTTTGCAAACTTTATATGTATTAATTTGTCTCTTTGTATCTTTCAGAACATTTCAAACTGTCCTCTTTACCTCACAAGTATGTTGTCTTTTTTTCAGCACAAACTCACCTACAAGTCTGACTCATCATTCTGTCAATATAACAGCTGCCAGAAACCCCAAATACAAGAAAAAAATACAAGATAAATAACATTATTTATCATATGGACTGATATGGAGTCACAGCTATGACTGTATATAATGTGTATTAACAGAAGGGGTACCAAGAGTGTTATGTTCCAACACTATTCTATAACCACATGACAGTAACAATACAAGGTCTATTGTACCGGGGTGGGATACATGGCTCTTATAAACAAATTTTACAGAGTCAGTGGTCAACAAATGAAACACAAGAGACGTAGTTATATGGACAAAGTTAAGCAGAGATGAAATCAACATGATCTGGATCTAAAGAGCTGCAACCTCTGATGGCTTTTCCATTGAGCTTGAAGCCCCTCTACTGTTTGCAAATACGATTCCTCAAGCGAGCCTCACAGTACGCGTAAGGGGGTGTAGTTCAGTGGTAGCGCATTTGACTGCAGATCAAGAGGTCCCCCGTTCAACTCTCATATGACATATGAATCCATATGAATCCTGACACAAAACAATTAAAATAAGTTAATGCTGAAATAAATAATAATAGCTAAATAATGTAATATTATTCTATTTCATTGTATACAGTATATTGTGCATTTTTATTATATATATTTGTATATATCATATTTGCATTAATTTCAGCATTTATTTATATATTTATTTTTGTATTTATACATTTATTTTGGATTTATTTATTTATATTTAAGTAATTTTTCGTCCTAAATATAAGTAACATCGCAGCCACTGTTGGGAAACTATATATGTACCAGTGCGTTTTGAAAGTCTACGGGTTTCCATTCCATGACACAACACACATTCCACTTCAGGTAATTAAACTAATAACCCCCCCCTCTGGCTCCAGCACTAATCAGCAGCAGTGATTACACCAGTACTAAACAAAATGATCAGATACATGCTGTTTTACTTGCCGTGAGCATCTTGCATCTATATTGATTCAATGAAGTCATTTTGTACTGAGGCAACAGCTTGTGAGGATACTCCTGCAATTTAACAGAAGATGATTTAAAATAGTAAACCGTTTCACATTAATGTTGCCTGACAGATTACCCTGTTGACTTGTCTCGATGCATTTATTGTGGCTCATGTATATTCTGCTTGTGAAATGTGTTTGACCACGATAGCTATTCCAGTGCTTCCACACCACGTTGACACCTAGAGGTTATATATGGGATCACAGCATCGAACTGGGAACCATTGTGCTATTCCTCCTCAATCAGACTCTTATCAGGTGTTGATTTTGTCTTAAATATCTATACCTTGAACAATATAAAAATGTGTAATTCCCTCCTATTCTCTCTGAAGTATTTAATTATGTGTATCTTGACTGTTAGTTGGACAATATTTGTGATATCTGACCTATAGCGGATGTTACTGCTTATTTTAACCAAGTATAGCCTATATTTAACCCCCTCCACGCCAACCCTCTTTACCATTTTTAAGGAAGGACAGGGATCTGTAGTGGGTGATCAAGAGTCTTGATCCAAAGACCGTTTTGATCAATAATCAAATGTTCTACCAGTGAGCTATACCGTCTGATTGTCAAATTGCTATTTATGCCTGACTGGAGATTAAGGAACATTATAAGCTCTTAGCCTCAATCCTTCAACTTCAAACAAATACAAGTTGATGTGTTTGGTCGGTGAAAGAACTTATTGACCAACAGTGCTTTCTCACTGAGTCTGATCACACTTTGGTTTTGGATTCAGGGACATAAAAAATCTATACTATCACTGTGTAATCAAGAGAGGCAGCCAAAGTTGAACAGGAGACCTCCTGATCTGCTGTCAAATGTTTGGTCAATGGCTTATACCAGTGGGATGTCATTTGGCAAAATGGCGTCCAAACATTAATTCCACTGGATGCTGCTCACCCGACCCAAACGCCAAGACAGTCTCTTGCTCCCTGGTTTCTCTCTTCATGCTGGGCAGTGGGCCCACATGATATGTGTCTTTCTTTGGCTTTATAAGCAACAGACATATAACATCTTGAAACACATCTTCCCGCTACTTATCCTGAACTAAATCCACATCTACATAGTTAAACAAAGAGAACAGGAGGCTCCACCTAACTTGTTGTTGATGTAATTTCATAAACAAGTTCGGTCAGATAGTCAGAATCAGCACTGATTCTGACTATCTTTAGTTCAGTACTTTCAGTCTGCTGCTAGTCCCAGCCCAGCACGAAACTAGCCTGTACAATCCCCGTCCTTAAGGTTAATAGCTCAACAGCTTATTATTATCAACATATTTATCAGGCTGAGATTCTTTCTGTGACTTTTATGGTCTTTTCGTAGGCTTTTAATAAGGAAGTAACATTCTGTGTACCACGGCTGAGCTGAGAACAACGCTCTCAGTCACCAGTAATTTGGAGCAGAGCTCCACTAGAGCTACTGGTTCAGTCAGTGACAGTGGTGGATCAGTACTGTTGAAACGGGATGTTGGTGTGGGACACAACACCGAGTGGTTTATGTGAACTTGATCGCAGGTGTTTTAAAATTGTGGTTGTTTTATTGGTTGGAGTTAAGTCAGTCCTCCGAAGGTTTACCATCAGGAAGTTTTCATTCAAATTCAAATTTCTGGTGGTAAACTTCACTTCACGTATTGATGAGGACTGTGTTGACGTCTTTAAAGATGCTCTTCTTCCAAGGAAGTAAAACTTTTCCATGAAATCCCCATTTCATGATGACACTGCTGTGTCAGGCTCAACGCACATTAATAGCAACCCGTCCGTCTACAACTCGGAAATAGCGAAATTGCTGTTATGGCTTGAGTGAAACTGTAATGTGAAAAAAAAAATAAAAATGACAAGACGTCTGACGAATGTGTCACTCAAACCTCTTCTTAAAAATGCTTTGATGTTTACATGGACGATACACTGTCAAATGAGCCAAATTAGTTTGGCTTATGCAGACGGGCTGAAGGATTATGGGAGTTAAGAAACAACAATCTCCTCAATCCATCTATGAGCAGTCTGTTTAATGACTTGCTGCTACATACATCATTTTGAAAGCTGCTTATATGCACTCAGAATATTAGATATTTCAGGCAGAACATAGGAGGAGTGTTTATACTTTAGTTCAAACGTCAAGCACAACAACTCTGGCTCTTACGCTGTGGAGTGATACGAGAAATGAAAGGTTTCTTTGCAACATAATCTGACATGATCCTCATGCTGTCAGACTGCATGTATATTATGTATGTATGAATTCTGTGTGTAATCAAATGACACATGCATGTATGCAATCATTTGAATATTGTTGGATGTAGTACAAGTGCATACATGAGGAGCAGAAGCCCAGACTTATGCACAGAGGGCCGGTACCACGAGTTAGTGCTAAATATTATGAGCCATTGACACAAATCAGAAAGAGCCTAAATAAGATCATATAGAACTCGGAACTTGATCCAAATAACATATCACTTCACTTTCTTTTTTTTTTAACTTTGAATCTGGGAACTCTTCAGTGGCCACCAGGCTACACAACCTGATCTCTACTGGTTGGGAATATTTCAAAGAGATCCGCTCAGAAATGCATTGTTATGAAAGATACAGAGTTTATATTACAGTGCCGCTCCGACTCAACCGATTTGCACCGCATTGTTAACTCTGGTCTAATACATATTGTCTCTGTGAAGAAGCCAACAGATCATCTCATGTGTACACCAACCACAATTTAGAGACATCTAATATTAGCTCTTTCTAGTGCTGCACTGAAGACAAAAGAGATCACGAGTATGAGTCGGCACTGCTCTGGAATGTGTCTTAAGAGTTACTGCAAACTGCTATGACAGAGGGAGAAGCAACAGCATTATTGTTTATATAAAGTAGTTGTTGTTAACAGCTAATCCGAACTATTAGCAATAATGCTCAGCTGTATCATTTAATATTAACACTATGTACAGTATGGGCTACAACTGTTAACTGTCAGAGTAATTTAGCTATATAAGAAAAATACACATACTTAATCACTACTACTGCTAACTGGAAGGAATACAATATTATGCAACAACTTTGCCAGTTACTTTGCAAACACAAAAAACTAAATGTCTTTTTTAAGATTCAATACTTTTTTTAATCAATATTTTTCTGGAGCTGTTTCACCACCGTCCACATTCTTTATTTTATTTTTCTATAGTTGTGAGCTGCTCTTCTATTTCCTTTGAACATTGCATTGTTGAAGGATACCATACATCAACCACACACTCAAAACATTCAATGCATTTAGTTTTAATACTTCATTCAATTTGAATATACTACAAGATAAGCACCTACTTTCCATTAATGTTTGAATTTCACAGGTCATGGGTGGAACCACGAACAGAATTTCTTCTGGCCCAAGTATTATATAATGTTATTATTCATTTTTCCCTTATAAAGGGGGCACCCAGAGTTGAAGTGTGGACCTCTTGATCTGCAGTCAAACGCTCTACCACTGAGCTAAACCCCCTTGGGAAAGGCTAACGTAGTGACAGAAACAGGGAGTTGTTCCACTTTATGTCAGCAAAAAATGAAAGTAATAAATAATCTCCACTCTTGTGCTGGCTGAGTCTGCAAAGATGACCTCGATTGTGGCATAAACAAACACACACAGATTAAAAAAACAAAAGGCTTGCATAGCAATTTAGTGTGTGTTATTCATAAGGTAGAGCTTGAACACGGGGTACCCAGGCCAGAAATGAGCTGGGGACTTTTTTACTTTGTTGTCAAAGCACTCATAGCCAAATAGGAAGAGGCCTTTAGTATGAATAGCCGCCTTTATTCTTCTTTAGCACGCATGTTATAGCCATATGTGCAGCAAAATCATCATCACATCGCGTGCAGTTTTCTATATAAATCTGTACGACTGAAGAAATGCCCCATGCCTCACATCTAAAGGAGATGTGGATGTCAAATTATTCAAGGGTATTACCAAGAGGAAAAAAAATACATTTCACCACTTATTCAATTTCACATTCATCAAAACAAAATGGAAAAACTGCAATAGCTGTACATTAAAGAAAAAAAGACTTAACGAAAGCTGTGGACTTTGAGTGACATGATGTGAATTTAAAGAGGATTTAAACCCTCTGATTTCTCAGCACATGATATATGTGAAATTTGGTGATAGCAATTGGTCGACTCAGAGGAAAGAGATAAGAAAAGAGGCTGAGATAGCGTGCAGTACTAATTTGAGCAACCACCGCTGGTGAGTGGATTTGGACAATATCAAACGAACAACTTTTATTGTTCGTAGCGTTGCATGATTATGTCTCTGTGAGAGGGGCTTTAGGGAGGGAGCAGAGTGACGGAGAGGAGGGTATGCGGCTGAAATTGATGGGGAGGATTATGGCCAAGTGGCCATATATCTGCAAGCAGTATTGACATCAAACATTTAGAAGGGCCAGGGTCAGCTGATTATTTTGACGTTTCCCAACTTTTATCTCAAAGAGTTCAAAGTGTCCTTTTGCAAAAACTTTCTGTGTCAACTAGTCGTTAGTTTCTTTTCTAGTTGGCAGCTCACTGGCCTTCTTAGTACCCCAAAATCTACTGGCATTCATAACAAACAGCATGTTGGGCATCAATTATTTGTTGTGCTTTGACACATTGGACTTGGTATGAAACTCGTGGCCACTAGATTTATGGGGAAAATACTGAAAAGTAAAGCTAGGGTTGGTAATCTTCTTCAACTACATTTTTTGTTTTACGTTAGAAACTGTCATAACACCCCGACGGCAAATCACGCTCTGACAACAAAAATAAAAATAACGAGACAAAACAGGTATCTGTGGCTGTCGCAGGACTGTAATAAGCCCCTTGTCGTCCTCCCTACCTGTCTACTTGCGCATACCCTCCTGGTGCACTCATAGTGGGTCACCTGAGTCTCTCACAAACTGCTAGTTCAACAGCTGTGAGTACTAACAATAGCTATCGTAATATAATTTACACTCATTATGACTCTTTTGGGGGAGTGGCTTGGGAGATAGGCCTAAATCGATAGATTTTGGAGCTAGTGCTGCAAGCTGCTTTCATTGGAAAAATGTCAACACTAGTTAGATTTGATTATATGTTTATATATAATGTATATTCATTGCAACCCTTTACAATAAGAATCAATGGAGCTAGTGAGAAATAAATTCAGAAATATATATATTCTTATTGTAAAGGGTTGCAGAGGATAAAAATGTTGCAAAGCTTTATCTTTATTTGCATTAGTGGCTGTAGTAACAGCTCCATCTTTCTGTTTGATGGATACTGAAAATCTTCTGTTTGTTTCAACTAAAACTTTGTTGTACAAACATTTCCCATGTTGTTTACTTCAATATTCATATATTAGCTTTTATATCTTAAATCAATATTTTCAATATTTTCTTTTTTTCCCTTTTTATAAAAAGCTCAAAATGTTTTTTCTATGTAGAGAAAATGCAATCTTCAAGTTATTTAATTAGGATCTACTGGACTTAAAAGGATGCATATAGATAAGATGCACTATAACAGTGTTAGTGAAACATAAAGCCTCTAATTGCCTTACCCTTTCCTAAAAGCCTAGTCCTGTTGTGCTCAGTGGCCAGAGGTCTCACAACGTCGATGAGTTGAGTATCTTTTACCTCCAAAACCACGTACTTCCTCTTCCACCCTATCACTGTCTGTCAGTCAGACTTTCCTTTCCCTTCACCCCTCCAAGGGGTATTAAAACCCCACCACCTCCTCATCTCCATCATCACCACACATACAAACACAAACCCATCCCCACCCCCAACCATGACCCAGTTTGGAAGGGGATGAGGGGGTAAGTGAGGACCATTTTGAGTACCACGGGGAGAGAGGCAAGATGCTCTGCCTCCCTCATTCCTCTCTCTTTCAGGAAGAGCTCACACTTGGTTAAGCACACACACTGAGGCTCTCCATGAGAGGACGGCCACAGAGCCGGGTGTTTTGTTTTGAGTTTTTTTGTTGTCTGGATGCGGTTGTTGATTTTAGGTCAGGTCTGTTTGATGTCAGTCCGAGGTTAATGGGTGTGTAAAGGAGGCTAGGTGAGACGAGGGGACAGAGATGAGGGGCCTCAGGTTGAGAGACAAAGGACACAGTACCTGGTATCTGGGAGAGAAGGAGTAGAGTGAGTATGTTGCTTCGTCACTTTGCTTGCTGCTTGTTTGTTTGTCTGTATCTGCTCTGTTTTTGCATTTAATCATTTGAAAATTACTTTGAATGAAGTCGAAAGAAGTAATCTTTCATTTGTAACAGATCAGCTCCACCAGACCTCTAAACCAAAGGATGAATATTTACAAGGTCTGGCGACAGCGCACTGACGTCCTGAACTTGTTGGTACTCTTTTGATGAACTTAATACCACTATAAAGACAATTTACATTTATAAACTGTATCTGCATGAAGCTGAAGAGAATGCACAGATGCACACGGAGAGGCTGCTCCTACCTCAGAGATTCTTCCTGGAACATATGGAACCAGTTTACCGTTGCGTTTCTCCCCTTCGGACACTGTTAATGAGGGAACTGTTTGTTTCCCATGAACACTGAGAGAGAAATCTTCCCTCCAAACCCACCTCCCTCCTTAGAAGAAGAAGAGCTCATTCATCCAGCTCAGCAAAGACTTCCTCATCTCAAGATTCTCGCAGGCCGAGGCTCACTTTTGACCACAATGTTCAGCAGTTTCTATTTTTATCCCTCACTAGTGAGGTTTTTTGATTTGAATTCCTTTACATCTTCCACTACACGTTTTATGAGCCAGAGCCCTGAATTGGGGTTTACTGTCTACTTAAACCTTTGGACTTTATTATTTATTTGTGTGTCATGGTCGCGTGCATTGATCGCTCTGCAAGTAAGTTTCATGTCTGTGTTTGTGTGTGTGTGTGTGTGTGTCTGCACAAATACATACGCCACACAATCTGGTCGAGATTAGCGTATGGAATGGATGTGATTAACAGCTCTGATAACCTTCTGTGTGGGTGAACTCGACTTAATGCAAAGTCACTCTCGGCATGCCTGTTTTTAATCACTTCAAGAACGTTTTTTTTGAACAAAGTTGCTCTCCAGAAAGAAAGAAAAAAAAACAGAGAACCAGAAAAGTTGATAAGAAGTCCATTTTTAGCAATGCGGGATTTCTTTGGGGTGATTTGAATATCTCTGAGTGCCTAACAATGGAGCTTATCCAGCCTTCAGTGTAGGAAAAGGGGAACCGCAATATAATAAAAACCTTGTTCTTTTTAAGCTGAGCATTTGCTGTCAGTCGGTCTTCCACACGCCGCTGTTATAGAGTTTATCTCCACTCACATTGTGATATCACATGCCTAAGGCTGGAGACCTTTTTGTGATATAAGTTGGTTGGTTTTATATCGGATCTCTTAGCGTCACAACACAGCGCCACGATTTAACCCACATATGACGATCCAGGGGGTTACCATGGACAGATGTCTGGCCAGCTCCTGTGTGAGCAGATTAGATTGGTGTGTGCTGTCTGTGTGGGACAAGGTGGCGGCTCGGAGGGGCATCAGTGAAGCCTGAGGATGCCGCGGGCAGAACAGAGCGAGAGGGCACTGTGGCAATGACCCTCAAATAAGGACAGTAGGAGGAACATCGACCCTAACAGAACACGCTCAGAGGTCTCAGACATCTGTCTCATCGCTCTCTCAAGCTTTTGTTGTGTTTTTTGTTTAAAGGAAGCATTTGCGTTTCTGGTGACTGACTCTAATTAATGAGATTATAGACACTAAAATCATCTGTGTATTTATCGTTGCCTTCGGTTTGCCCTGATATGAGAATCTATTCATTTTTTCAATTTATTTTTTATTTGTTATGGTTAAAAAGAGACTCACAAACTATTGACTAAATATGGCTCTTAGTCAATAACCATCATTGTGTCAGAATTCTGATCTCATCCCAATTAATTATTAGCGACATGTGCATTTTCTAGAACAAAGGTTCTTCTTTTTTATGTGATTAAGCTTTTCGAAGCCAGCATTTAAACCTCGGCACACACAGCAGCGCGTTACTGTCGGTGGTGCCGGCAGCTTCAAACTCTGCTGCCACCAGTTTAGGAATAGCTTCGGTCTGGATCTTTGCTGATTAAATTGTTGAGGATTTCTGTTAATATAAAATGAAAAAAATGTGACTTCCTCACACACTACGTTTGGAGGTTTGAGTTTTTCTTTTGGAGTGGAAAAATAAGCCTCAAACTATCTGGGTTTACCGACTCTGACTTTTAAGCCCCAAATATATGCAAAATAAATGTTTACCTTTTCTTGATTGAAATTTTATATTTTTCCACTGTTTCAGAAGAAAAAATATACGTGAGCGATTGGCATCTCTTAATTTAGCACATTGGTCAGAATACCATTTCATTTGTATCCTGGTAATACCGTTGAAGAACAATGTAATTGTTGCTGTCTAGTGTTAACTTAATTATCCTGATGATAATATTTTAATACGAATAGATTTTATAACTCAAGCTTGCCTTGTGCAACATTCATGCCATTGTTTGAGATGCTATACCGAGAGAGTCAGAAGATAGACTTAGAGCATAAGCACCATGTGGACCTTAGACACTAACTGCATTGTGACACTTGTAAACAGACACAAATAATACAATTCATGACATAGCAAACATCATTCCAGTTCTCTGTTTTTATGGAAGGGAATATAAGACAGGGTGTAACAGGGTTACAAATATATACATTTTCACTTCATAAATCTAGTGACAAAAACCTGTATAATAAGAACATGATAATCTGTTAATTACTTCAAGCACTCCATAGAATAGTGTAGTTAATTGATTTTTATTACCTAACATATGTCAGAGGATGCTTTTTGACATCATGCTGATGGAGACAATCTTTTTTAAATTATGTTTGTCATTAAACCTTGCAGACAGACACTATAAAGCAGATCATAATCATATGAAAAGTCAATTTGAGGAATGTTTTAACGGCAGCAGATCAGCAGGATCACAGCTAAATCAATCGCAGCTGAAGAAGCGCTGACAGTTTCTTTTCCTGGATATGCTTTATGATCTTTTACGATCACTTTAAAAACACTCAGAGATCTAACTGGGAATTAGCATGATGGTGAAGCCTGTACTGACATTCATACAGACATTCATGGGGGGAAAGTACATGTGTGCTGATGGATAGCGGCTGTCTATGAAAGAGTAATGCGTGAGATTAGCTGACAAAGTAATAGGAAAAATAACTAGGAATTAATTCAATAAATTGAATAATTACTTTACATGAAACAAGCGCACAATATTGATATTATGTACTATAATAGTTTGTTTTGCAATTTACTATGTTTTAGATGCACATGTACATGTTAGTATGCTTGACTTGATTAAAGTTCATCCTGAAGCAAATAAATCTAATATCCTTACGTATACTCATTAGAGCTTTTTCTCTACCATTTACAGTACGTTCATTATCTAAACCGCCCGTGGCTTTACACTACTTTTACATTACATAAATCCATAATATTTAGAATTCTTATCTTTTGTTATAATTATAATATTTAACTGGTATTATCCTTCTTCACTGCACACAAGCATTTTTAACACACCCACCCTGCATTTTTATTGCACATTTGATGAGCATCTAGCTAAATTAAATGTCATGTAAATGTTAAAATTCACCACTGGTGCCTAAAAGTTAGGTTTTGTCAAGTCAAAGGGCAGTAACTGTAACAGGAACCAGGACCTGGAACACCTGTTATGTACCTCTATATGTTGCAAAACAGGACTCCCCTCAATGATGCACGCATCTCCCTGTTACACAATTACAACACTTTTTCACATGTACTAGTCTCCTGCACGGGTCGAGGTCTGTCCCGTGGTGGGCTCATTCCCCTGGTGTCCCTCCCAAGCCCTGGGCCCTCTAGTTGAAGCAACGTGTCCATGTGATGAGTCAGTACTGTGCAAGAAGAGCACCTCAGCTCATCATACCCACGGTACATTTGTGTACAGGGACATTGTGGCTCTACCCTGCGTGCTTTTCGAGGCTGTTGTACGTGTGGGTGTCTGCCCTTCTGGGAGTCTGTCTATGTAATATATCTGGATGTGAGTCTCTGTGAGTCCTGAGGGATTGATGCCAGTGAATGAGGGGACCCTTCCAGTGACGTTAACTGTATGTGTAACTGTCTCATTGAATCAGGACGTGAGCTTGTAATTTGGAGAGTTCACCCCTTAGCAACTGATCTTGTTGACCTTTGACCTTGTACTGTTCTGGAAGGGCTATGAGCGGTGTCATGGGCTCAAATATATCAGAGAGACTGATAGTTTGATGACCCATGATTACACATTCAGGACCTATAGGGCTGACGGCTATTGAGCCATTGATCCTGAATGTCCTTCCTTGTCAAAGTTATATAAAATCACAGTGGGATTACACTGAAGGGGGTTTTCCTTGTTTTCTTCTCTAGCTATAGAAAGTCTGGTGTGCTTTTTTGATGTTTTCAGGTGTGACATGATTTCCACCAATTTGCTGTTCTTTGTTTGTATCAGAATAACAGACTGAAAGCCTGCCTGCTGCGTCTGTGCGGTGCTATTCGGGAGGCTGACTCACGGCAGTAACTTAATGCACAGAGTCAGCTTCTTACCCCTAACTGCCCCACTAGCTCCCGCAGACATAAATTGGATGAGAAAGCAAATGCCAGGTTATATGTGGCTATGGTAGCAGGAGTATTAAGCTGTGGCGCAGGCATCCGCGGTCCTGGGCTGGAGCGTCTCTCCTGGTCAGAAGGGAGCGTGACAGTTCCTGGTGCGCAAACAAATTCTACAAAGTAAAGGCTTCATCAAAGGCCACACACACAGCAGTTCCTCTGTATCTTGTGAATGTGCAACGTTTTTTGGCTAGGTCTCTAGCTACAGAAGTGTATTAAATAAAGTTCCTGTTACATCACACCCAAATATGAGTCTTCTGAAAACTATTTGGCAGATTTCACTCAAGCAACATTATCTAACAGAGATCCAAAAAATTCTAAAATACCAAATATGTCTGGAAATAAATACAATGATGATTTAATGATATAAAATAATACGAAAGACATCTGAAATATTTCCATTTGATCCATATGTGCAGCCACAAAAACATGAAAACCTGGGTTTGACCATTTCACTCAGTGTAAACATCAGGAGCTGGAACATATAGACAGAGTTAACAGGAAAACCTTTTATGAAATAATTGTTGCCCTTAATTTGAATACAGCAAGAGTAGACGGCGTGCACATCGAAAAAAAACCTCTGACGAATGCAGAAATCTGACAAAAATAAGTTTTATATATATATGTATATACATATACATATATACATATATATGTATATATATATATGTGTGTGTGTATATATATATATATATATATATATATATATATATATATATTATTTGAAAGTACAACACTGAAAAGACAAATACAGCAGAAACAATCATTCACTAATAATGAAAAAAATGCCCTAAAACAATAAGCAGCAGTATACATGTTACCATTATATTAAATCAAAGCAGTTAACCTTTTCTGGCAACTGTTTATGACTGAATCTGGTTATGATTATCTAAAGAACAACATTGCAGCACAATAAGAGTTATGTAAAGAAATGCAATGATGTAATGCTGGAAAAGTCAGACAGAGCGCTACTATGGAAGGACACTGCTGTGACTCTGTGTGCTTGTAGCAGCCTCTCCCTCCGCTCTGGCCATTTGCTGCTTACTCGTACATGTCGGTCACAGACGCTCACAGTTGCCACTCTCACAAGGACTCCACCGCCTACTCTGATTGTGCACAGTTATGGCCACTTACTGTATGTGGGTAATAAGCGTACTGGAGTGTGCATGTACACACAAAGGATTCCTGACATCTTCCTCCTTTGTCCCAGGCATGTCCTTATATGGTCAAAGTGATCAATATGACACATGTTTCATCGCAAGCCTTCCACAAACATTCCCGCGCTCTCTGCTCCTACTGGAGACACAAAGCAGAGGGCTGGGAGCTCCTGCTCGCTTCCTCCAGCTACATTTTCCCTCTCGCTGCAGCTGCAGCTCGCTCCCAATAAGCTCTCAACCTGCTTGGTAAGGATATCGTCCCTGGAAGCCCTTTAAACCCCAAACTAAGCTCGTATTCATGGTTGGATTTTCCTCTCAGTCTAGCTGACAATAAGCCATGCGCTATTGCAGCTTCATAAAGGGGAAAGTTCAGTGGAGGTGTCATATTTATCCCCCAAAGCCGCCCTGAGGGAAAGCAGTGTTTGGGTTCAGCTCCACTGCCTGAGCTAATGTGGGTCTGCTATCTGACTCCCTGCTCCAACGGTTTGAGCCCAAGCCACCTGCTGATTCTGCTGGTTTGGATGGACTGCCTGGAGCCCAGACCTAACCTACATAGGCAACATGTACCTCTTCCTAATCTGTGCTCAGATGCACACACACACACACACACACACACACACACACACACACACACACACACACACACACATACACACACACACGCACATAAGTGCAGCACAATTCTATTTACCTCCCAACCAGAACAAACCAGTCAATTTAATACAATCCTGAAAACTGCACCTCACACAGAAGGCTCACTAAGAGGATTTATTCTTCAAAAAGAGATAGCTGTTAAATAAAGTGACTGTGTATTTGGCGATAGCAAATACCCTATTTGGATTATTTCGCCTCCTTCTCAGTGCTGCTTGATGATATTTTTTAATACCGGTATCCTCTTTTCTCCGTTTGGTCTTCTAATTCCCTAAAAAGCCCGAACTTGACAGCAACCTCACTGTGGCACTGAGCTCCAAATTCAGTGTGTGTGCATGTGTGCTACAAAAAGCAACATATCAAATTAAGCATATATTGATTGGCTGAGCACAGAGAGGAACACTCATTTTAATTCAGGCAATTATTATGTCACCCCTTTGTTCATTGTGTTACTGAATTTGAAGAACTAATGCTACTTCCGAAAGGAATAAAGGTCTAGAAATTGCTGTACTACTTGCTTTGATCAAGTTATGAAATTTGCATTTATTGTGAACTCATACTGTCTTATTTTATCTCCCGCTTGTCTTCCCCTTTCCTCCTCCTTTACTTTCTCCAGAGTCTGTGAACAGGTGAGAGAGGGACACTGTCTGCCCCACTGTCCAGCGACACCATGAGCTGGAGCTTCCTCACGCGGCTGCTGGAGGAGATCCACAACCACTCCACCTTCGTGGGGAAGCTGTGGCTCACCGTGCTCATCGTCTTCCGCATCGTGCTCACTGCGGTTGGGGGAGAGTCCATCTACTACGACGAACAGAGCAAGTTTGTCTGCAACTCGGGCCAGCCGGGCTGTGAGAATGTCTGTTACGATGCCTTTGCCCCTCTATCTCACGTTCGCTTTTGGGTCTTCCAGATCATTTTAGTGGCGATGCCTTCTCTTATGTACATGGGCTATGCTGTGAACAAGATCGCACGAATAGATGAAGCCAAAGGAGGAACTGGCTCTGCTGCAATTAGAACAGGAGGAGGAGGCTACACGCACAGGAAGCCCAGGAAAATATGCTTTGGAGCACGGCAGCACCGGGGCATTGAGGAAACTGAGGAGGACCAAGAGGATGATCCCATGATCTATGAGGTGCCAGAAATCGAGCCCCCGAAAAGGCCGCGGGATCCACTGCAACCCGCACCCAAACCCAAAATCCGGCATGATGGGCGCAAACGTATAAGAGATGAGGGGCTGATGAGGGTCTATGTTTTGCAACTGGTGATTCGTACACTGCTAGAAGCAGGCTTCCTTGCAGGCCAGTATTTACTGTATGGTTTTCGTGTGACGCCCGTGTTTATGTGCTCGAGGAAACCTTGTCCCCACAGCGTTGACTGCTTTGTGTCGCGGCCTACAGAGAAGACCATCTTCCTGCGCATCATGTATGGTGTCACGGTCCTTTGCCTCACGCTCAACGTTTGGGAGATGCTCCATCTGGGGATCGGTACCATTTGTGACATTATTCGCCGTCGGCGCTGCCCACCTCAGGAGGATGAGTACCAGTTGGGATTGCTGGGCACCAATGGAGGTGTGGAAGGATCAGTAGGGGGGACAGGGCCTGAGGCAGGGTCTGAGGGAGGGGTGGGTGGAGACGGGGCTGCAGACTACGTCGGTTACCCCTTCTCATGGAACACCCCATCAGCTCCACCTGGTTACAACATTGTGGTAAAGCCAGAGCAGATGCCGTACACGGACCTTAGCAACGCTAAGATGGCTTGCAAGCAGAACCGGGCAAACATTGCCCAAGAGGAGCATCAGCAATTTGGAAGCAATGAGGATAACTTTCCCACTGGAGGGGAGGCCCGTGTAGCTTTGAACAAAGACATGATCCAGCAGGCTCATGAGCAACTGGAGGCGGCCATCCAGGCCTACAGTCAGCAGCACCGGGCAGAGGAGCAGCTTGGGGACAACCAGGACGACAAGCCCCAAAGTAACATTATCCAGGCCCAACCTCAGCCACAGCCTCAGCCACAGAAAGAGCGCAAGCATAGATTCAAACACGGTAAAGGAGGCAGCAGTGGAGGAGGCAGTAGCAGCAACAGCAGCAGCAGCAAATCAGGAGAGGGTAAGCCCTCTGTATGGATTTAACCCCAGAAACAGTGACATGTATTGAAACCATGTATATATTACAGACTGGCTGACGAGTTGTTGCAATCTTCCTTGGATATTTAAACACCACTATGCCTTAAAAGAATCCTGCAAGCTGGAGAAGATGTGTTTGTGTACTACGGTGTGTAAAAACAGACGTGATATTGCAGCTGACAATTTATTTTGTCTGGGCTTTCACTGTTTGACTTGAAACATCACACCAACACAAGCTGTAGGCTACAGTCTGTCGTTTACATGTCTCGTTCTCCTCAAGTCCTGAAGCAGATTACTGACCTCTGTTGTCTTCACGTTCATCCTTTCTTGGGGATTTGAACTTTGGAAAATTACTGAATGATAATGAGTTCCGTTGCAAATCAGATCGATCCCAGATTTGGCTTAACTAATTTTCTGGCCGCTCCTCTGCAAAGACACCATCTCTATTAATACATTGGCATCCCAATTCTTCGGACATCAAAATGAAGTATCATCACGATTCAACGGCAAAGGGATGCCATGACATCAGTATGTTCTGGCAAGCTAAAGCTATGACTTCATACTGTAATGGCGTCATCAAGGAACACCATAATAATGTACATGCAACAAAATGAAACCTAATTCAGTGGCAGCGCCTAAAGCAGTGACTTTATAATGCAGTGAGAACATCACCTTCCTGTCATGTTATCTGTCTGCTTTCTCTCCAGTGTAGAGTTTCCAGTGTTATGTTGCTGTGACTTGGCATTTGACAGTGTGTTTGTAGTTTCCTGTATTTTTGTTGTTTTTTGATAACTGTGCTACACCAGCTGAGAAACTGATGAGTACAGCAGGTGGCTATTTTATCCTGTGTACATCTGAAATTTCCTGAGAAAAAATGTGTTCTTTTTAACAAGGTGCATAAGCAATCTAGTTTTTATACCTTACTCTTAAACTTCTCAGTTTCTTGCTCTGGCTCTTAATGGCTATTGAACAAGGTTGCTCAGCACTCCACTGCTGTCTCATCTGCCTTGTAGTTGACTGCCCCCTGGTGGTATCTTCTTAGGTAATGGGGATTCTTTATTGGGTAGTATATACCAGATGCAAATGCTTCCTGCATCCAGCAACAACTTAACCAGCTTTATTGTTCCTTTTCTATTCACAAGCCTTGTGACAGTTAAGTCTTCTCAGCGCTACGAGTTCAGTGTTAGATGTACAAGGCTGCAATATCACCACGTTGTAATGGAAAAGGTTTAAAGCCATTACTATAATATCGTGAGACCAAACACTGTTTGTGTGATGCAAGTGTCAGTGCCAAGATTTTATGCGAGGCTGCCCTGAAGCCTGGTTGTTTGTTGCCATGCTACTCCAATTGTGGAAAAAATGCCCACGTGAGATCAACCCTTTTGTAAAAGTAACTTGTTTTTTTGTATTACAGTAAGTGTTTTGCTTTTCGGAACAGGATTTAAAATGGAAAACTCCAAAATGGAGTCGATTTTTATGTTTGAGCCAGTGTTTTGTATGAAAACACAATTAGACTTTTTTTCAAAGAACTTTTTTTGTAAAATAAAGAAAAAGAAAGCTTTTTTTAATAATTAATTTGGTGTATGGATATGTATGGTTATTGTGTTTTAAATTGCCTTTCAATTGTAAAAGAAAATGTGAAATATGACATAGTATATTTTTGTAATATGTCGGCTACAGTGACTTATTGATGTAATGAAAAAAAGCCAGACTATTCCCTGTACGTTACAGTGTCAGTATCTAAAGTATGTAGCAAACCTCTGGGCTATGTCTTTTTTTTAAAGTGTTACTCCTTTTCCAAAATTGTTCTGAGAACTGCAGATCAGCCATGTGCATGGACACAAACAAAAGGATATGAAGTGCCAAACTATTCAAACCATTCCAAGCTTTCCCCACAGTGGCTTTCCGAACAAGCAGCATGACGAAATTTTGAGGGGGAGCAAATCTGAAAAACAGGACATTATATTCTTAATTTCATAAATGTCGTCAGAAAGATCTGAGTCTTTCCCAGCAAATAGTGAACTTACTGGACCATCACTCATGTGAAGCTGTGAGGCTGGACTTTGTGACGTGGCTTCCTTCACACAAACACAGGGAATGATACAACAGAGTGCTTGAGTAGAAAGGGTCTTTCTGATTGGTCTGTTCACCACTTGGCTCCATGTGTCTGTTCAACAAGCCAGCCTGCAGCAGACAGTCATACATCACAAGAAGTACTTCAGTCAGCTGCTCCCCAGAGCAGCGATTGACACTGACGCCACTCCCTCCCAATAAGCCACGGGTGATTTACTCAGAGTTTCCCAATCAGTGACACTGTCCTCCCCTGGAGGCCAATCAGTCCTCATTAAATTCAAACAAAGTTTCTCAACTAAAGTATTTATTGTGTTTTGTTGTAGAGAAGGACACAAACTGAAGTACAATGGATGACAAGCAGCTGGTGATGGTTTGCAGTGAGAGCCAGCTGGAGTCACTAGAGGGCGACTCCCTGTCAAAGGAGGGAGCACCTAGAGAGTGAGGAAGGGGCATTTTGAGGAGGTGTCATGAGGCGATATGCTCAGAGTGTGCATGACTGGCAGCTTGGCCTCACATCTCCAAAACTATTCCAGGTTATGTGACTTAACATAAAGTAAGAGAATAAGGGAGAAAGAAAAAAGTATACTCACTGAACAGAAAAGGCTTTTACAGCTACTTATATGAGGGTTTATTCCCCTCTGCATATTCTCGCTGTCCTTTGAAAACCATGTGTCTCCAACATGTCACTAAAAACACTAAAATCAAACACAGGGCAAACTAAGGTTAAAGGTGCCCTTTCTGATTTGTATGCCAATATGTGGTTTGACCGCTCTGCAGCAGTATGTCCCTGTTGGTATATTTTGGAAATGTTCATTCTTTATGAAAGTTTTTTAAAGGCTTTTTAAGCTGAAGCATATTGCTACTGAGAGTGTGCAGGAGTTAAACTTTTTCTTTTGCAAGGTAGCAAAAAATAAAAAAATAACACAACATAAAATTATCGAAATTTTTAGATATGTTTCACTTTGACATTGACGATACGCATTTGAGTACCTTTAAAGACACATGTTGGAACTGACAGCCATTTAATTACCCCTCATACCTGGCAGCTGAATGAATTATAAGTGAAAGCCCGTCACACAGTGGTTGTATCACAAGTCTTTTGTGGGTCTATTTATCAGGGATACCACAATGTCCACCCTCAGCATCTGTCTGTCTATGTAAAAAATAATGTGTTCAGAAGAAAGACTAGTGTTTCCCTACATGTTTTTTTTAATGGTCACCCATGTGGGATGTGGCAATAAAACCAGTGGTATTACCAGTCCAAACTCTGATTCATACATGCATTTGTGTATTTGTGTGTTTTCTATGCCTTTTTATAAAATGTACATTTCTTTGAGTGCCATTCTGGTATCCCTTGGCAAATATTTTTTTCATATTATTTGATGAAAATATTTGCATGTGAAAAAAACTATTTTCCTAAAAAAATAAATCAGAATTGCATATTGAATCATGTTTCTGCATCTGTTGTTTGTGCTCCACGGCCAAGAACAAAAAGGCTTCTCACTCTTGAGATGTTGAGTATTGTCCTCTTCTTGTTGTCAGTATGAGATCTGCAGCGTTTGATTCTGATTGGTGGGGAGCAGGGTCTCCGCACTCCTATCGGGAGAGTTAAACACGGGCTGATGTTGTGTCACAGGCAGGAACAACACAGGAGACCGAAGAGATGTCACTTCAGCTCATGTTCGTCGTGTCATTATGTTTGGCACTTTGGCAGTGTATTCGGTGACGGATGAACTTCAGCTTGCGATGACAGAACATCTGAGTCTGTGAGGCTTTAAATTACATGTATGCATTACCAGGAACGGAAAGAGTACTACAATACTTTACTCTCGTAAAAGTAACATTACTTGTGAAAATTACATAAATATAAATTTAAATAATAGTAAAAAGGAGGTCTCCAAGTAAACCTAACATATTAATATAAGTAATATTTAAAAAGTACATTGTTACAGTGACAAGAGTTAATGTAATTTGCTACTTCCACCCCTGTGCATTACAAATACAATGTCTGTTAGCCACTGATTTTAAAAACGGAATTATCCTTGATAATACACCAACTTATTAAATCAAGTGTTTTCCGCTTTGTCCCTGTCGTCATTCACGAGTTTACAGTCAAATTGTCTGGAGAATAGGCGACAAAAATGAAAATGAAAAATGTGCTTCCCTGGAGAGCTGAGCCAGTGGGAATGAGCAGAGTGCTGCAGCTGGATGTACAACGAGGTCACTGCTGATATAACTGGAATCCCATGAGCGATGAGGATGGCAACTTGTGGCAGCAGGCTATTTTCTCTAAAAAATAAACAAACATTGCGTCCCATTATTGGCCTAATTGTTCGGATGTACTAACCCTATATGGATGCATGCTACCATTATGAATTTCAGGACAGGGAAAGAGGACAAGTACTGCTCCAGTACTTTTTCAAGGCTTCCCTGGTTCTTTCAAAGAGTCTGTGAAAGCATCATCCAGATGTTTGCATGTTTGGTCAACTCAGAAACTGTGGGATGCCTTGCAGCACTACAAGCAGGAGAAGCATCACAGCTGCATTGAATATAGAAATAAAAATATGGAGAAATTAATCTTTAGCATTCAATTGGTTGTTTATGCATTTGCTATATAAAGTGTAAAATAGAGACGTCTGTGCAAAACTATGCTAATAAATGACTGGATTATATGGTGTTCCAGCCAAATGTGTGGTTTGTAAAGAAATACTGCATTTTAATGATAAACCTTGGCAGGTTTTGGGACACTTAATGCCTCAAAGACATTAAATCATGGAAGCTAAGATGTGTGGAGAAAAGCTTTTGAATTCCACTTCAGCCACTAACTACATGCAAATAACATTTCCTGATAAAGATTTGTACGCTTTAACTTCATATTTCCTCTCAACTCGCGCTGTTCATGAATTTGGTCATCTACTGCTTGTACAATATTTCTCTGGATGAGAAAGATCACTGTTCAGACTATAAAAGGCAGAAGTATGAAAGGCAGAAGTTTCCTCAAACACAAGGCCCAACCAAGTCTTAGATTAGAAAGCTTTATTAATCCCCAGTAGGGAAACTCATTTGCCACCAAATCAACTCATAGAGACAACAAACAATGGACATTGTACACAAATTGTACACAAACAGAAAACACAGTACAACGAATAAATAATACCATAAAAAAACATTTGAGACATGATTAACAGCGGAAAGTTCCATCTAAAAAGCACATTTGAAGTGTTGATTAAAAAATCTGACCGCTGCTGGAACAAAATACTTTCTGAGTCATTCAGTAGAACACTGACGCATCAGTCGTTCACTGAATGAGCTTCTGAGTCCATTTAAAACACAGTGTAAAGGATGGCCTTCAAAATACACAACCGGCCTTTGCTCTCTTTTCTACAGTGACCTCAAGTGAGTCTGGGGTAAGGCCAATCACTGAGCCAGCCTTTCTGATCATCTTATTGATTCTGTTTTTATGTAGTGATGCAGCCCCCCAGCAGAGGACACAAGCTAAGATCCGCTGATTAAAAAAAAGTTGTTGCAAATGCAAAAGCTCTGGTGGTCAGTTATATAACTGTCATTAGTAATTGATTAACACAAGGCACTACAATGTAAACCCCCAAAAATGTCTCACAAAGGACTCCCATTCAAATCAAAATAACCCCCCCCCCCCAGACTCCAGCTTGAAAATCTGTAGTAATAAATGCAGTTTTAGATTTACTGCAAGACTATAATGTTTACAGTCTTATGATTGTTGCATTTTGGTTTTAGTGCAAATGGCTTGGCTGCTGAAATCCTTGGACACACTTAATCCATGTCATCAAACAGTGGTGGACTCTGAAAAAAGGGCACCAGCTGCGTAAGAGTGTGGAGAAAGATTTCAAGCATGTAGGGCAGACCTAGAGGGAACTTAATAACATTTTCTTCTTTTAGCCAAAAGAGATCTTGCAATTCATTCAAAAGTACATGAAAGACTGGGATACAAACAAGGCACTTCGCTCCTGTCCTGTCAGCTACCCCTGGGTCTGGGAATTACTTTTCACCTGGTCGACAATCTCCCAGGTGAAGCCTGAGCACCCCCTCACTATGCAGCCGCAACAAGATGCCAAACTCAGTCTACATTCCACCAGTGCCAAAGCTAAAGCTCCTCCCAATCAGAGTGACTCCTGATTGAGCGCTCTTTACAACCCATGGCCACTCTATGGGGCTTAACATTATATCTTTAGACATTATATGTGACAGTCTTGTGCATTTTCAACAGTTATACAATCAACAGACAATTTACCAAACAATTTTGGACACTTTCCCTCTCTTGGAACATACACATTCCCGCACTTGCTGAGTTTTGAAGGATTTTGTGGGCCCTTTTTGTCATCACTGTCCACCTCACTTGCAAATGGTATTGCAATGGCACCTCCTCTCCGTCATCAACTCTTCCCTGTCTACTGGCTCCGTTCCTCTCACCCTCAAACTGGCCTCAGTCACACCCATCCTCAAAAAACCTGGCCTTGACCCTGACATCCACAACAACTACAGACCCATCTCCAATCTCCCTTTTCTGTCTAAAATACTGGAATGCACTGTTGCCCACCAACTCAAAACCCACCTTGACTCAAACCAACTGTATGAACCATTTCAATCCGGATTCAGATCTCATCACAGCACAATTCAATATTTGTTGTTGCAGTTATTTTTTGTCAGTTAACAACTAATTTGAATATAGTGATATCCATATCATATAATGTAGAGGCTCCGCTTATCACGTTGTCATTGTTTCATGAGAATTTGATATCGTATAAAAGAGGTGTAAAATGTTGTAAAATATTTATACTAGTAGTATTTAAGTGGTGTTCTTATTTGCTTTGATGATACATCAAGATTTTGATGACCAGTTGAAAAAAGGGATTATAAACTGCATGGAACAGTTACCAAAGTATGTAGATTTAATCTCCTATCATGTTTTATCACTCTGTTAGCAGACTGGGATTTTGGCTGTCTTTTACAGGGACGTTACTAAAAACTGTACAAAATGTGAATCCCTTTGCAATAAAATTACATGTTCCTCCTTTTGCCAAGTTATCTCTTCTGTGAGCTAACTTAGCATAACAATAGAAGACAACACGTGGCAATTGTCTGGGCCCATCCATACATCATTTTTGTAAACTGCACCCGTTGAGGCCCAACACTTTCGCTCTGCAGGGGTAGCCAATGTCTGCAATACTTAAACGTCATAAGTAAGGGATATTTCTGTAGGCACACCTAGCATATGTGTTGTGAGCTGAAAGTAATAACCTGAAACAGCTGCTTGCTTAGCTGCAGCATTCCCTGTCGAAATGGGATTAGAAGTGTTAGTATGAGCAATCACATTTCATAACATAACCGATTTTATGGAGCAGTATGGCTTCTAGCAAGTCAGGCACGAGACGGTGGTGAGAAATGGGCTCGCCAGATGATGTCAGAAAGCCTCTGTTTTTCCGCAGGACGCCAAGGGCTTATTGAGTGTCTGTGTAAATGGAAACTATTTTGTCGGCAACGAGCTTACAGGCTTCCGTAAGAACCAGATGAATGTCATATGATGAGACTACAGCAAACCCAACCAACCCTTCTCCCGTGTCCGGCGAGCAGGATGCCGAAGCAACCACAAACAGTTCTAAAGCAGCATTTGGCAGGGTAGTGTCTGTGAGGTCAGGTCTTATTGTGCAGACCTGTCCAAGAAAAATCAACACAGCGGCTCTGCATCTGCTGGAGTAGGGAAAAGAATGGCAGGATTAAGGATAGTACATTGTTTCACAGTAATGTTAGGCAAATCCAATGTATTAAGCTGATCTAATGTGTGAAACAGCATAAGGAACCATTAGTGTGAGCTCACCATACCCCCCAATGTCACGTGCAACAGCACGGAGACGAAGAGGAAGGCCAGCTGCAACAGGGTCTAGTTTAGTAGAGAACAGGTCTTTGTTTCCCCCCAGGTTCCTGAGTCAAAACGGATATCATGTAACCGTCATTTTGGTCAACGTATTGTGTGAACAGTGTGTCAAGTTTAGGGAGTCCAAGTGTCGGAGCTAACAGTAATGCGTTCTTTATGTCATTAAAGGCAGCATTCAGCATTCAACCAATTGCAGCCAAAAATGTAAGTAGGACAACTGTATCTAATTGGCATGCTTCTTCTGTGGGGCTGCAAATCATGATATCATCAACATATTGTAACAAGGTAGAACCATTTGGTCAGTGTAAATCAGCCAGATTGTCTCTCGAGGTGCTGTTAAATACACCAGGGCTTTCTGAATATCCCTGGGGACACCAGGTCCAGGTAGAGCCTCTTCCTTTATGAGAAGGCAAACCAAAA